AACTAACAAGGGGAGGGCACATCCAGCATATCGCCAATTGAGATGAAAAAAATTCAGGTGATTCTTTGAACAAAAAAAACGAATGCGTGTTTTGGGATTTTTCGAGATAGGGCCCTGATCGGTAAAAAAAAAAAATTTAATGTAAGTAAAAATACGACATTCATAATTAATTTAATTACAAAAATTATTTCTTATTTTTCATTATGTACATTAGATTTTGACCGTTATATTATATAATATAATATAATATTATTTTATAGAGAATTTCTACCAGGGTAACAGTAAATTAATTTAAATTTAAATTTATCGAGGTTAATTTAATGTTATCAACATACACATGAAATTACAATATGAAATGGTTAAAGTAACCAATATTAAAAATAAATGGAACATTATTAATAGTTGAAGAAATTATTGATTGAAGTAGACAATCTAGATTTTTAAAGATAGAATTGGTACATAATGAAAAATAAGAAATAATTTTTGTAATTAAATTAATTATGAATGTCGTATTTTTACTTACATTAAATTTTTTTTTTTTACCGATCAGGGCCCTATCTCGAAAAATCCCAAAACACGCATTCGTTTTTTTTGTTCAAAGAATCACCTGAATTTTTTTCATCTCAATTGGCGATATGCTGGATGTGCCCTCCCCTTGTAAGTTGAAAACGCTGCCACAAATAAAAGAGTAATGAGAGTATTATAAATGAATGTAACAGTATATGGGGCAAAATTTCTCAAGTGTACCAGGACAAAAAATTAAAGTTATCCGATTTGGGTCAAAGTTGGTAAAGTTGCAGTCCTATATGATGGTAGTTCACATACCAAAAATTTTTTCGATTCCTCAAATATTGGCCGAGATAGAGGGGGTGCAATTCTTGTGCTTTTGACGGGAGCGGATGTTTTCAATCGCGCGTAACTTTCATTCTACTGCTCTTATCAAAATAGTGACCAGAATCTTTTTTATAGATTATTTCACGGTCTTTCCGATGGTTATGGTCAATTGTATTAAAAGTAAAAATTTAACCCTTTTTTAATGAAATAAATAATTAATTCGCCGTTTTTTTTATGTTCCACCCATTTTCGTGCTTCAAAATTATTTTTAAATGAAAGCTGAGGATTTTTTCTATAAGATTACCAACTTTCAAAGATGCTTTTTTTGTTGTTTCCAAGTAATCGTAAAATTAATGAATCGCTGCGCTACTTCGAGCGAGACAACTGACGCGCGCATCGTCGTATCACATCGCACAATTAACGTGCCGTGTTAGTGTTTAATTTTTACCACTAGATGGCAATTGTTCTCGCAAAAAAAAAAAGTGACTCCTCTGTAATAGAAAGGGCATTGCATTTTGAGACTAACACTATAGTGGATCTGATATTAAAGCATTTCAATTAGAGATGCGCACGAGACGAGACGAGACGAGATTTGGGCAATCTCGATCTCGATCTCGCAAATATCTCGGTATATGCATCTCGATCTCGAATTTTCGAGAATTTCAATATCTAATCTACATCTTGATTTCGAATCTCGTCGAGATCTCGTCGAGATTGGCGGAAAATAGTTTAAAAAGTACAGAATTCTTAAAAATTTAAAAAACTTTAAATTTTTAACAATTCTGTATTTTTTAAACTATTTTCTATTAATCTTGACGAGACCTCGACGAAATCTCGACGAGATTCGAAATCGAGATCGAGATTAGATATTGAGATTCTCGAAAATTCGAGATCGAGATGCATATACCGAGATATTTGCGAGATCGAGATCGAGATTGCCCAGATCTCGTCTCGTCTCGTCTCGTGCGCATCTCTAATTGAAATACTTTAATATCAGATCCACTATAGTGTTAGTCTCAAAATGCAATGCCCTTTCTATTACAGAGAAGTCACTTTTTTTTGCGAGAACAATTGCCATCTAGTGGTAAAAATTAAACACTAACACGGCACGTTAATTGTGCGATGTGATACGACGATGCGCGCGTCAGTTGTCTCGCTCGAAGTAGCGCAGCGATTCATTAATTTTACGATTACTTGGAAACAACAAAAAAAGCATCTTTGAAAGTTGGTAATCTTATAGAAAAAATCCTCAGCTTTCATTTAAAAATAATTTTGAAGCACGAAAATGGGTGGAACATAAAAAAAACGGCGAATTAATTATTTATTTCATTAAAAAAGGGTTAAATTTTTACTTTTAATACAATTGACCATAACCATCGGAAAGACCGTGAAATAATCTATAAAAAAGATTCTGGTCACTATTTTGATAAGAGCAGTAGAATGAAAGTTATGCGCGATTGAAGACATCCGCTCCCGTCAAAAGCACAAGAATTGCACCCCCTCTATCTCGGCCAATATTTGAGGAATCGAAAAAATTTTTGGTATGTGAACTACCATCATATAGGACTGCAACTTTACCAACTTTGACCCAAATCGGATAACTTTAATTTTTTGTCCTGGTACACTTGAGAAATTTTGCCCCATATATATAAAGAACGTAGAAAAAATGAATACAAAATTTGTCAATTTCGACAGAGTTAATGGTCGTTTGTAAACCGCTCGGCTAGTCTGTACAGTAACGACCCGCGTTAATTGATCGGCATCGGGATGACATTCTCAAATGCGCCCGAGTTTCCATTGACTTGGCGGAGCCAGCGGATTTTTTATAAGAACGATTTGGCCGACGCAGGCTAGACGCTGCGCGATACGCCACTTCGGGCGTTGCTGAAGGGTGTGCAAGTAATCAGCCAACACTTCCAAAAACCTTCGGTGATTCGCTGGGTTAATTGCCATCGTGACAATCGTTGCTCTTTGATTTCGAGCACGCTCGGTTCGGGTAATGCTATAAGGGGTGTCCCGATTAAAAAGTGGCCTGGTGTCAGAGCGGTATAATCGTCTAGATTTTCGGAGATAGCTGAGATCGGACGAGAATTTAGACAAGCTTCAATGCGGCACAACACCGTGGTCATTTCTTCATACGTGAGCGTATAAGTGCCGATGCAACGTTTTAAATGGTACTTGACGTTCTTGACTGCTGCTTCCCAGAGCCCGCCGAAGTGCGGGGCAGCGGGAAGTATGAAATGCCACGAGGTTTATTCGCTGCTTCTTTCGTTCAAAAAATTGGGATCGGTGATTGCTTTAGTATACGCTTCGGACATCTCGCGATCGGCACCGTGGAAGGTGGTTCCATTATCGGAGTAGATACATAGTTTTTGGTAAGCCGCGTCGCGAGATGAATCGATGATATGCTGCGCGAAAAGTGGCAGCCGAATAGTCACTAACTAATTCTAAATGGATAGCTTTGGTGGTAAGGCATATAAAGAGCGCAATATATACCTTGTGCGATTTATGTCCGCGACCAGGCGCACTTCGTAAGGCGATAGGATCTGCATAGTCGACGCCGTTATGAATAAATGCGCGACTGACGCGATTAACACGCGCTTCCGGTAGGTCTCCCATGAGTTCCTGTGGGATCTTGGCGGCTTCGCGTGCGCATCTGACGCATCGATAGAGTACTGCTGGATTCACACTGCATCCGATTTTCGTCGTACGATGACTTTGCAACCAATCAGAAAAATCGTATCATCGATACGAAGCAAAATTTTGTTTTCTGATTGGTTGCAGAGTCGTCGTACGACGAAAATCGGATGTAGTGTGAATCCAGCATACCGCGTGAACGGTTGCTCGTGCGCGAATAATCCAAAATTCCTCGCGCAGGGAGGTGATTGTGAGTTGAGAGCCCCCGTGCATTGTTCGCACATGATGATGTTGGATTATGAGTGACAAAATTGGATGGGAGCGGAGAATGATGGGATATTTTTTCACATCTGCAAACGAAGAATGACGAAGTCGACCGCCAGCGCGAATTACGCCGATGGGGTCAATATCCAGATTGAGGCTTGACAGCGAGCTTGTTTTTGATAATGGTCGCTGAGCAGTTAATCTTGCTATTTCGTCCGGGAATAATTCAGCTTGCAGTGTCTTTATCCAATAATGTTTCGCGGCTTGGATTTCTTCTGGACTGATGACAGAAGATCTTTGATCGTGCGGCTTGCTATCCGTCGACGACCGGTCAAGCTTTCGCACGGTTTGCACGAAACGGAGAATATACGCGGTAACACGGACGAGAGTATACCACGAGGAGAATCGAGTCGCGAGGTCCCACTTTTCGGAGATTACAGTGGTACATACTGATTTTTGTGGGCGCTCCTCGGGGACTGAATCTATTGGGATTAAAGATAACGGCGCGAGTGGCCAGCAACTCTCTGGTTGCGACAACCACGAGTCACACTACGAATTGTGGACGCGGATCGGATTCGGATTGCGCATCATTGTATCCGGATTTTCCGTTCACACTACGAATTGCTACGAATTCGGTCTTGAATGCATTCGCTATGGTGACTATGGCACAAAATTATAATTGTTATAATAAACAATATATTAAAAATAAATTATGTGCATGTTTATTGCTTCTAATAATGTGTCATTACAAATTAAGTAAACGTAAACGCAAAATATGGGTCCACAAATGGATATCAAGAAGAAAAGAAAAAGGGTTGCACCATAACCTTTTTTTAGAACTGTCTTTGGAAGATCCTAATCGATTTAGAAGGTTTGTTGTGATTTGTTGCAGTTTACAAAATATAATGTAAAATAAAATTAAGGAAATAATTTACTTGAAAATTGGTTACATGTTTTAGATGCCTCAGAATGGACGTAGATACTTTCGAACGTCTGTTGATTAAAGTCACTCCTATAATACAAAAACAAGATACTCATCTTCGAGAAAGTATTTCAGCTGGGGAGAGACTATCAGTTACTTTACGGCACTTAGCAACAGGTGAAAGACAAGAATTTCGATTTATTGTAGTTGTATGCTTTAATTTTATCATGTAATTAATTTTTTTTGTATTTTGAAGGTGAAACGCAAGAATCGTTATCTCTCTCATTCAGACTTGGTAGAAGTACCATATCAAAAATTATAAAAGAGGTAGCAACAGCAATATTTGAAGTTTTAAGAGATGAGTTTCTGCGTTGTCCTCATACTGAGAATGAATGGCGTGCAATTGCTAATCATTTCGGAGAGCGATGGAATTTCCATCACGTAATAGGTGCAATGGACGGCAAACACTGTGTTATTGATCCTCCACTAAAATCTGGATCCATGTATTATAATTATAAAGGAGATTACAGTGTTGTACTACTGGCTTTAGTAGATGCTGATTTACGTTTCATTTATGTTGATGTAGGAGCTAATGGCAGAGTTAGTGACTCTGGTGTTTGGAATAAATGTTCCTTAAAGAATCACCTAGATAGGAATACTTTGAATATTTCTCCGCCTGCTCCGCTGCCAGATACAGAAGATAATTTTCCTTTTATAATTATAGGAGATGAAGGTTTCCTGTTATCAGAGAAACTCCTAATCCCTTATCCAAAACCTCAATGTAGTGGAAAAAAAGATAAGAGCATATTTAATTACAGGTAAAATATTTATATATTTTTTAATTCTACGTAAAAAGTTAAAGTATCATAGAAGTGTTCGTTTATTCATATATCTATAGATTATCTAGAGCTCGTCGCACATCAGAAAATGCATTTGGTACAATGGCTGCCCGTTTCCAAATTTTTCGTTCTCCAATGCGATATGATCCTGACGATGCTTCCAAGATCATCTTAGCTATATGTTGTTTGCATAATATGCTGCAAAGTCAGTTTGTTGGGCGAGCTATGTATACACCATCATCATTTTTAAACGAAGAAGATGAAATATCAGGAGAAATTCGTCGTGGAGAATGGAGAGTTGAAAACGGAAGAGGTATGGTAAACTTTGCTCATCAAGATGACAACCGTCATGCAAATCAAGCAATCTTGCTCAGAGACAGGTGGTGTGATTATTTTAATACTATTGGCGCTGTTTTCTGGCAAGCACGAATGGTACTGTGAATTACATTATTTTTTAATATACCAAATATATAAATACTTTGATTAGTTAATTATCATATTATATAATTAGATAATTATCGTAAATCTTGTTATTCATAATTTAAGCATTAGTAGTTATTATGTTCATTTATTTACAGATTTACCAGCGATCTGTGAATTGTTGAAAAAGTGTTTAAATGTATATCTTAATTTAAATATATTCTGAGAGATTGTCATTTTCATTTCATGTGGATAAAAGTTTCAGTCAGAATAAGAATATTTTATTATACCATTTATTTTTTATATTGCAAAATGGCGTGGTACATACACATACAACATATATTATATAGAAATAACCGAATACATATTAGAGATGTTGTCGCATTTTAAAACTTTTTTGAGACGAACAAAAACGTTATATCATTTTTATTACAGTATAGTATAGTCTCAAATTTAATTAAACAGAATAGAAAATTTTAATTTTTAACAATAAACATAAATTTTTTTCTGTGATAATAATCAAATAACTCTAAATATATATATATATATATGTTGTGACGTGACATTTTGTCAGTCACCCAGAAAAACAGCATAACGCGAGATCCTGGGTCCTTCAGGGTCAACGGGCGAGCGCACAAGCGAATGTGCGACATTATTTATTATTTTTATTTCCTTTTTGCGATTATTGTATTACTTAATTCTATTCTTTTTCTTGCGATTATTGTATTTTTTTTCTTTTTTTTCTTCTTGTCGCTATTTAGTTAAGTTTTAGTTAATATTAAGACGATCCTGAGCTCGGATTTTGCCGATAATTCGCGACCAGGGCCGGTGGCTGCGCTGTATTCTTGTGTTCGGCCGCCTCACCTATCGCTAGAAGAGAGAAGACGTCGCCTCCCACGAGGAAAAGATTGCTGTATGAAGAATTTGGCTGAAGTCACGAGAAGCGCGGCACACGCAGG